AATGTATTTCCCTTGCCTCATTTTCCTTATTATTTTTCTTTAAGTGCTTTTGAAGCGAATATATTTTATTTGAAAAATAGAGTYAATAGGACAAGAATAACACTTYGGCTGCAGGCTTCAAATTTCAGAGAAAATTTGAGATAAAAAYCCATTATATGCTAATTTGCTAATTTAATGACGTCACCTGATGTGCTCTATAAWCAAAATTTARACTGACTAAACTGTGTTTTGTAATGAGCATGATGAGTGCTCCTAAACTTTCCCCTCTCAAACTRTGAAAGATTGTTTTCGGAAACACAAAAAGAACAATAAGGTTAAAATAAACAATCGGATAGTTTGTATAATCAACGAGAACATCACTTGGCATTATCATCAAATTAGCATAATAGTATTTTTTAAGTCCAATTTTCTCTGAGATTTGAAGCCTGCATCCAGTGGCYTTTTTCAGAACTATTATTCTCTTCATATTGTTTCTATTTTCGAAATAAAAAAATCGTTTCATAAGCACTTAAACGCTAAATTTGATATCACTTTGATATTGAATCAACTTGACCTTCAACATTCAAGAATCAATATGGACCTAATTRAGATATCTCGGGTGTTCGTGTTTGGCAACTTTCCGCAAGAGGRTTATTACAATGACCCAAACTGATATGCTTACTAAAAAAAATATCAAAAACAAACAAAAAATAAATAAATGAAGCAAACTATAGTGTACAGTACTATATAAAACATGTTACTCCAAATGTCTGTAGACTAATTCCATACGTATCATTATATATTATATATATACAGTATTATATTTCGKTCTAGCACAAAACTTTCAGATAATGCTAAGAGTGCATAGTCTGCTTAGATAAACTTTCAAATGTCTTACATACGCCGATTTCAAGAATGGTTGCCAAAAAAAAGGCGAATAGCAATTGTCAAAAGACGATTTCATAACCGAAAGAAGCCATATGTTTCGTCAATTGATGGAAATTGATAACTGATTTACACTGTAAGATACTCTGTGAGGTACCCATTGACTCCATTTTCAATAATCAAAGTTAACCCACCAAGTAAAATTTTGAAAGTTTTTAAAACAGGGCAACCATTAAATAACATTGTCATGCAATGCCCATCAGACAATCACCATTTTTGAAATATGTGTATCTTATGAGCAGGACATACCTTTAATGGTAATTGTATAGTGAGCGGGTATTTTTGATAGAGCCTCAATTGTTATCGCCTGTTTGTATGAGTAGTCCAGTAACATATATTCGTGCTCGCAGGACCCATGCTTATTTAGCTCTTCTAAAAGATTCTGGAGTCTTTTCACAGTGGCCAGTTCCTGCGTTGTCTTGGTAATTTTCTGTTTAGTCTGGTTCAACCTCATTTTCAACGTCAAAAGCTTGCTGCTTAGCGTCTCAAAAAGGGAATCAATATTGGCTTTAGCTTGGTGAGCTTCTTGGTAAGAATTGGCATTGTGAAGAACTTGGAATAATGGGACCAATGCAATAAAAATCAACAGATCTTTTGCGATGCGCATTATGAGGAAAGTAAAAGAAGTATGTTATCTCCCCTGTCTTGCTTATAATATGATAATCATTATCTTCAACTACGATAGTATCATATTACTAAGAACTTACTGCGCAGAGGATTAGAATGTAACGCATGTAACGTAAGTAAAGTTATTGGAATAGCGCTTGTCCTTCATTTTTTATGATTTATTTAAAAAATGATACATTTCTGAATATTGTATGGTACAAATTTGTTGCACACATACTTTAGCTTATTATGTATTATTATTATTATTATTATTACATAGTATGTGATCATGCAGCCAGCAAATTCCAAGGAATTTTATCACATTTCACAAAAGGAAAACGATGTGGACAAGCTTGTTAAATTATGTAGACGTACTATAAGTGACCAGCAAAATTTGCGAAATCAACTTTTGCGCGTAAGAACATTATACGTCTACGTAAAACGTAAAAAAATAAAACAGCCGCAGTAAAGTTAGTTTCCCTTAAAATTATTTTATTTAACCTTTAGATCTTTGATTGAACTAATTATAAATTCTAAAACATTTTAAACATTTTTTTTCTAAAAGATTTTAATGGCGCACTAAATTGATTAGTATTACTATCAGTTCCTGTGCATAAGGGATTTTTACTTTAAAGTTTAACTGACTTCTGGTGCAGTTTCCGTGATCGCATTGCTTTCTTACTTCAGCCAAACAAGCAAGTATGGCTTTTGATGGTTGTACAATCCATTTGGCCAATCAGAATCGTTCTGAGGAGAATCATACCCATTAGCATTCTGGGACCATCCATGTGCAGTAGATCCTTTCAGCAGCACTCCCACGGCCATGCAATAGTCACTGACCTTAGTATTACCCTGATTGTTGACAGAGGCATAAGGATAAGACCCACCGTGCTGTTGCAATGGCATTATTCCATAMTTGWTTTGATAGCATGTCTGTGAGAAACAAATAAGCAATGCTTTGGAAAAAAATACTTTATAATKTTGAATTCATTGAAGATCTAAGTGTCATTAAGGTTATTAGAACTTGTAACTGCACTACAAAATGCAAAACATTTAAAAAGAAACTAATTAGCATATTTTTAATACCATATTTGGTTATCATAGCTCAATTCAAAATTAACGCTGTTGCTAAAAATAGAAATATTTCTAGTATCTACAGGAAATCTTATTTCCACTTTATAGATAATATTTGGATTGCATTTTGAAGACAAAAGGCATAATATAGAGGAGAAGGTCATGTGAGTTTTCAAATGACAAATTGAAYATTCATTTCGAGGCATTGAATTCTTGGTTTTCACTTACGTCCCGTCGTAAAAAAACGTAAAACGTAAAACGTTTTTTTTTTTTCGAGGAGGTATATGCGAGCGAACATGAGACGATTTTTCAAAAGAATGTATGGCAGGGSGAGCTGACGGGGCTGTTCTTCTAAATAACTGTTCTTGTACGAATGTTTTCTGGGGAAAGGATTTTGAGCTACATGCATATTGTTGGCAATTAAAAGTATTTTTGTTCCTGGAAAACGTTTTTAAGGTCAAAAACGGCCTATATTTTTTTAATTAGAAAATTTTTATTTTCCTGCAAAAWTTCTTAGAAAGTATTCCTTGCCTGGAGAATTCTTTTTTCCTGAATTTCTCGCTGGCAACCAGTTGTGACTTACATCTGGCTGAGACACAAGAACAGRTATATTTCTTGTAGATCTGAAACCCTTATTGGTGAGTTTAGTGGAATTACTGTTTTRTTGTCTCATTGGGCTCTCTGACGTACTGATGTTCGTTTCTCCTCGACGTTTCGACGCCGGTCGTCATCTTCAGGATTTTATTGCATAGAAATATTTCTCCCAGGAACCCGTCGGCTCCTCCTCGCCTAGTATGGTGGCATGTAAGGTGCCATGCTGGAGTCCTACAACGACTCCAACGTGAGTGATATAACTTCAAAGCCTTATAGGATCAAAAAATCTTTTCTCAAATGACATAAATGATACATGTTCTACAATTGTTGTATTGAATAATATTATAAGCCAGATCCACCGGCAACAAATCAAAATATGTCTTAATTAGTCGGTCTAGCCGAAGGCTAGGTCGACTTGAGTTTTACCTAATCTATCTATCTATCTGTGTATTTTGTCGCGTTTGGACTACCGGAAGTTAAGAATTTGATAATTAACTATTGGGTTGGCCGTGTTATTACATGACCGGAAGCTCGAACGTATAGTCGATGTACGAATATCGCTAGTAAATGTTATATGCTACTTGCGCTTTTATGTGATAAAAAAATATTCTTTTACAAATTTGGTATCTGTGATCTCATCAGAATGCATCAGTCTAGGCATCAGAAGTACGCGCATGTGCAGGTCGCATGGACCTTCGAGTAGTATGCTTACGAAACTGAATCAATGACCTTTCTAGCGTTAGACAGTCCTGTGTGGGCAAAGATTKCAAAATAGAACAAGAAAAACTTTGTTTATCAATAACAAAAAGGCGACTTTAATGATTTTATAGGCATCTTTTACTTTGTCAATTATTTATTTTCTTGGACTGAGAGGTCAACGTATTACATATCATGATATCACTTAGCGACATTTTTCTACCGCGTTTAATTTTGTCAGTCAAAGCAAGGACTCTTTTTAAACGTTCACGTAATCTTATCGTGTTTAAAACCTTTCACGTTCTCCTATACACACGCGCATCCATGTAATATCCTGTCTTCAAAAATAGCTAGTCCGACTTCACGCTCCAAGAGCGTYTAGTTTGGTCTAGATTATTCGACTTGTACAAGTTAGCGTGACACCTTGCGTGACATAGTTTGGCGGCTAATTTCGAAAGGAAAAAAAGAACTTATAATAAAAAACTCCGTATTTTTATCTCCATTGCTCACTTATTTCAGTTGATAAGAACTTTTCTTGATATATATATTTTCAATGGCGTTAACTGCAGAAACCAAATACAAAATATGTAGGGCGGACTTTATACAATCCGGAACTGCGTGGTACGTAATAAAATACGTACTGAGAAAACAAAATTCTAGCTTCTAAATACTATAGTATCTTTATAGTACCTTTATCATCTAGAAATGGAGTTCGTTGAATAATCAAAATGCATAATTGAATACATGAAATGCAAATTGTAAACTAATTTGTGGAGAAGTGATATATTTACTCTTAAACACTTTCAAGCAATGATATACAGCTAACCAACCATTTTAATATTGATACCCACTATGCAGTACGTAGCATTTAGTGCGTTGCATTGTCTGTGTAATAGATGGAAACTCACAGCAAAATGTAKACAAAGACCAATGAAAAAGTGTAGGAGAAGACGAAGACGAAAATAATTTGAAATAACAAATGCGCAADAAGGCTTAATCAATGAATAAGCTTCGATAAAGTGAGAATGAATACTWTACCCCTTTATTTCCATTCCAAGCCGTCACTGTAACTGCACTTGTTGGGGAGGATTTGATCGTATTATACCCTGTGGCATGGTTCCACCATGTGCTGTAATCTCGACCAGATGGAAGCTGCCAGCGGACCCATTTCGACCCAACTCCCAAGGCATTTTCTCCACTGGAAAACATGATCTCAAAGGAATGCTTCACAGCAAGACGTCGAGAATCAAGGCAACCATAATGACCACTCGAGGTTGGCAGTTTTGGGGATCTGAGAGAAGCGACATTGATATTTCGAACAAGCCACGAGTTWTAGATGTTTCCTGCCTGTCCACTAATTTTACCAACGAGAGTCCATCCTCCTTTTTTCATATCACAAAACGTTTGCTGGGAGTTTTTGTTTCCGYTGTCTTCTGTCTTTATCCAATATGTTCCACTAGATGGTGACTTTAATTTTGACGCAGAGATTGATAGATATATTTCTTTACAGGAATTAGCTGGGTTTTCTTTGCCCCCAAGTTCAAAGTGCTTGTCTGCTCGTCCGATGTTGCATATTTTAYCCAGAGACACTTTCGGATCTTTTTGTAGCAACAGCTTAACTTTGATATTGTCGTAATACGTTCTGCATCCAGTGGGACTATYTTTGTAGATGGTATGGCATCCTAGACCGACGGTTCCTTTGGAAATCATCCATTCCGTATCTACAATTGCGTCCTGAATCAGTTTTCTGTTTGCCCACTGCTTTATTTTGTTCYCTTCAACCCGATATTTGAAGTGGTACCATTTSTTTTTAGCCATTTTTTCGGGAAGTTTGMATTTGTATTTCCATCCACCGTCTTTGTTATCTTGAAAGGGTCTCATAGTGCATTCTTGATGGTCAGTGTAATATTCAAACCACCAGGCTGTTGTGTGTTTTAGATTTGGTTCCGAGATTCTTAGAAATGGACCAGGAAATGCTACATTGGTGTCAGTCTCCATTAGATCCAACTCSACTTCAACGTCATGCCAATTCTTTCCTCGATTAAAGTAAATCCCGACCTCACCACTACCATGCGTTGATATACCRGTCTTTCCAAATAGCATTCCATTCTTTACCGTCCACTCACCCCATACCTTGCTCCAGTCATTCAAGTCTTGACCTTTGAAAGTYTCGTACAAGGCAWATACGTTGTTTAAATCRTCTTTGGCTTTTACGTTGTACTTCCCGCCAAAAACTAGGGCGTATGATTGACAATCAACTRTCCCAGCTGAAATTGTCTTCTGTATTCGAAACTGCACGGTGGTGGTGTTGGTGTATAMGTTSTCAATAAGTCGGTCAAYTTCGACTGGCAAAGAGCCTTTACTTTCAAGGTAAAAGACACGAAGATCGCGGCCATCTTTTTCGACGAGATTCTCATCCACCATTGCTCTGTGGTTAACTGAATGTAAAAAAGGAGCAATCGTATATATAGAGGAATCTGGTTATACATAAAATATGGGTATAGATATATAGCTATATGCATTTTTTAAGCATTTAMAAACATGAATACAAGATTGAAACTTCATTGACCGTATATGATATTTAAGAAATGGAAGCGTGCATCCATCGAGTTATCGATGCACACGGGAGATTGCTAAGCGCGAAAAAAAARGTTAATGAGTGGCAGGCTGCGAATCTGGGAACCACTCTTGCTTTCTTGAGTAAATTTAGCAAGGACTTGTCTATGGAAATGTGAGGCAACTCGACATAGATCACATGCAATTAGTTTAGTTAGGAAATTCAAGGAAGACTATGTTTAGTTCGCTTTTGCCTCATGTGAATCATAGCCAATATTTTACAAATTCAGTTTTTTACGCTTGAGCTTTGTTTAGATTCGATTTTATTAGTCTTCTCAAATCATTATTGAGTAGATGTAAAGTTTTAAAACGCTTTTGTTAAAAAAGCCAGCTGGATTGCTGTTTGTTATTTAAAATTATATTAACAAATTTTAACTTGAAAAGCGGTTCGTAGAAGAAGGGTTATCACTAGCTAATAGTCTCCTTCACGGTTACCTGCGCCATCTTGAAAGGTAGCCGTGCCTTTSCATCGAAGCGAGACAACCGTTGAGCGTGCAATGATAGAAACCTGTGAATAATAGTCTGTAGGTGTGAAAGAAGGTTTCTATCATTGCACACTCAACGGTTGTCTCGCTTCGATGCAAAGGCACGGCTACCTTTCAAGATGGCTCAGGTAATCGTGAAGGAGACTATTATTTAGGTCGGTTTTTTAATCCAGAAATTTCGGATAAACTTAAATCGTGCGAGTTTCCAATTAATYCATTCTGATGATAGTGCACAGAAACATATATTGTTGAGAATTTTGAAATGAACGTTTTGTATAAAATACAGTTCTTCATCAATATTTRTATCAATATTATTAACGAGTGTATTCTATATATCAACACTCTTAATCTTAATTAATAATTAAACAAACAGTTTTAGCTTTAATTGATTTTCTTAAGAGATCAATTACCAGTGTTTTCTCTAGTTTTGAAAGCACTTAAGGAAAACAAACAAAATTCGCTAAACTTGTCCCAACTTGCTATAAAAACAAGTTTGTTCCTGTACTCAAAATTTGTTATTGACAATCTTTTTACAATAAAATACAAACCTTAAACAACAGAAATTCAAGAAACGTGTGTCCATGTAAACTGAAAATAAAGATCTATCATAATCATGTCAGTACCTTGAAGAGTAAYAGTGTAGTCTTCAGGAATCTCTTCTTCAGCTTCTATGCTGATACACTGCTTGTGGCGAAAGTCCAGTAAAAGATATTCGTGCTCACAGGGACTGTGCTTTGTGATTTCTTGAAGTAGATTTCTCATCTGTTTCAGAATTGAGAGTTCTTGAGATGTCCTATSGATTTTTTCTTCCGTTTGATTCAACCTCATTTTSAGTGTTAAAATTTTGCTGCTTAGTGTTTTGTAAAGRTTATCCACGTTTGCTTTAGCGTTGTACACTTCCTTGTAAGCAGACAGGATTGTAATTTCATTCACAATAAACACAGTTAAAACGAGCAAAATCAGCATCTGCCCTTTCTTGGTGTTCATTGTGGACTCGTGAACRWTGATGCAACTTAAGCTGAAATGAATTTGTTCAATATGTGATGCAGTAGACAGCATGCAGCTCCTATATCATACGGGCAGTGTCCTTATTGGCTGCYTTCATTTAAATAAACATAAATTTTAACAATGGAACTTGATCCAATCTGAAATGAGTACAGATGAACAAAGCACGTCATCTATACGATCGATGTAAATAAAGCTTCGCAAAATCCGAAATGCTTCGAGATAATGCTACTCTTAAGGCCTGCAAATGTAAATGAACATTGATCAGCACTAATGTCAGTGATTTTCTGGTTGTCATGCAGTTGTCCTCTTGTTCTGATCATTATTGATCATAAAATTTGTCTCATCCATTTTAGATTATATTGTGCGATAGATTGCATCGAAACACCATCATCAAGCATTTGAATAATTAATATCAACCAAGCTGCCAATAGCGACATAACTCACAAGTAGCCTAAGCACTGGACTTGGTAGTGAAAAACGAAAAGTTCAATAAAAGTGGTAAAACTGAATAAAATTATTTCAAACTACAACATAGTATTCTTCTTATTTTTCTCAACACCCCTGAGAAGTTTCAGCTCAGCATCAGCTTCAGCTTATGCATAAATACATCTTAATTTTGGCCTCTAAGACATCAAAATTAAGATGTATTTATGCATAACCTGATGTGTGATGGCAGTGATGTGTGATAATGTTTCTTCCGTTGTCTCGAGAGATCCAGAGTTCGAGCCCAACCGCGGACATGATTTTTTTCCCCTTCGAAAAAAAAAAATAAAAGATAAACAGAAAGACCGTGAAGATGAATTTCCAGCTGGTATTGATAAATCAAAAGATAGCAGGTTACTATGTTAACAACGCAGTTTACAGTACCCTGGTCCCAGAGGTTTGATATTTTCTCTCTTCGCTATTGTTTTAGTCGACGCGAAGCGCCGTAATCGAGGCCGTAAGGCCGAGCGAAAATCAAACCTCAGGTAGGAGTCGGTTGGAATCTCACTTCCATGCTAAACTAATCCAATTAAAAAGAAACCAATCAAATAACAGTACCACGCTGAGAACTTTGAATATAGGGAGGGGAGATTAAAACAGTCAAAACTACTTTTGGGGTAGTACAGAGTGTGCACGTGTGTTTACATCGACGAGACAGAATGGTGTTTGCATGCTGTACCACATGTCAAATATAAGTGATCTCAAAAATACCCCGGTAAAAAGTGCTCGCACACATCCTTCAAAAATATGCCGACATCGTCCTAATAGCATTGCATCTAGAAGACAAAGAATACATCTGTTTGGGCCAAAATCGCGTAACGAAAATCTAAAACGCTTCCACTGAAAATCTACGCGACGAAATATTCGATGTAGTGCCGATTCTCGATACTTGCATTATAACTTAGGTGAAAAATCTAACTTTTCCTTGCTTTTTG